TTATAAAATGACAAGAAAGATTATTTATAAAGAAATTTTCATTTTTGGTTTTATGTTCAGTTTATGAACAAAATATTCAAATATGCTGTAGGAAGAATAGTTTTTAGTGTTACTTACTTTAGTTGGTTTGCAGGTAAGTCTTCATAAGTTTCATTAAAAAAGTTATATATAGTCCATCCATCCATCAACACATCAGATCCAGTGCAGGCATCAGAGGAAGTTCCTACAGAATACAAAAGCAATTTGTGAGATCATAAAACTACTCCATATACTTAAGGAAAGATCTGTAAAATACCCAATTTTTAAGGGAGATAAAAAAATCGAAAAAAGTAAAATTTCTACTTTATCAGATTCTGGACAAAATATTCCAAACTTTTCAATCAATCTGGTCAAAATAGTTCCACTTAAAATATATTCTGCTGTTAAAAATTTATTAAAATTGAAATCTTTAAATATTTGAGGTTGTACAAGGTGTTGTTAAAAAGGTTAATATGTTAGTTTAGCTCAATGAGGAAAAAGTTATAACTTGCCATACTATCCAATATTTGTGTTTGTAACCTGTATTAAACATTAGAAACAAGGGAAAATATCTTGGTTTTTATGATTTTTTCTACTCTTTTATGTGAGTAATTTGGTTACAAATCAACTTTAAATAGTTTGTTTTGAAAGTTTAAAAGATTCTACTCATTGTAAGTTGTTGTATTAGAAAAAAAAATACCATTTTTGAATATCTTCTCTTATCATGCTCCACAGTTATAAGCTCTCTAAGCAAGAGCAACAAAATATTTGAAATATGTTGGTAATTTAGCTTTGAACTTAAGAGTTCTTTCACTTCATCTTTTATAGCAATTCTTTTAAAACAGTTTTAACAAAGAATTTTTATTTCTAATAAAGATGTTTTGTCAATTTTTAAATTGTTTCATAAACAGTTTTTTTGAATTTAAATAATTATCCTTTTATAGCTTTTATTTTTTTAAACTATTTTTAAAATATACTTTTTAAACATTTGTTTTCATTTTACATAACTTTTCAAAAAATTTAGAAATTTTTGGTTCAATCCCTTCATCAAATCACTTTATCTTTTATTTTGATTGCTGTTTTAACGTTTTCATGTATAGAATGATAGTGACTACCAACTATTTTTCAACACCTAAATACCTCACTACACACATTCTTGGTTCTCTTTCAAAAGTTTTTTCAAGGTCCACAAATGCTGTCCATAAATCTTTTTTTTTTCCTTTTATAAACGAAATAAGATCCCTGGTTTTGATCCAAAATCTCTTTTAAATAATAAGGATAATTCTTTTTTGAATTTGTCTTACAATAAATATAGAATCTGTTGTCCCATTTTCAGGCATAAAACCAAACTGCTATTATCAATAAATACACTGCTTCTTATTTTTTTGACAATTATTCTTTTAAATCTTCATCACCTAGTCAACCAATTTAATCATTTAATATGAACCACATTTTAGTGTCTCCTTTTCCTTTATAAATCTTTACTATCTAAGTTTTTTCCACTCATTTAGAGTTTTGTATGCACAATTGCATTGTAATAATCCATATAATAATAAAATAATTTTTAAATTATTAATAAAATAAATATAATATATCGCTTTTAAGAATAACAAAATTTTTAGTTACCATAGCAACTAAAAATTATTTTGTTATTCTAAAAACTCCCTTAATATTTTTTTGATCTTTTCTATATTTGAAATCATCTGTGACTGCATTAATATGTCCTACTATATTTCCACACACAATTAGCTTCTCATTTTTGTTAACAGAAATGAATTCTTTCTTTTTTTATTTTTCTACCTGTTTACCAGAATTCTTTCTTTACCTGTTTTTTCTTTTCCTGTTTACCAGAATTCTTACCAGAATTCTTTCTTTTTTTATTTTTCTACCTGTTTTAGAATGTACTGAAACTGACGCTCCAAATCCTAATTTTAATACCATTTCATTCACTTGTCTGTTCTCAACAGGTTTATAGATGTTTCTCCTAAAATAATGACTGCAAATAGTATATGATATCAGTTTTGTTATGTAGGACTTTTTTTATTTTTAACTTTGACCAAAATTTTAGTTTTGTCTCTTATGATTTTGTTTTATTGGTCTCTATTGCTCAATCTTTTCTATTAAGTTACTCTTAGTAATTTTTTGAATATATTTAGGTTATAAAATGGGGCCCATCATAGTTAAATACATAGCAATATTTTTTTAAAATTCAGGAAACAAGTATAAAATTTAAAAAAGATTATAAAATTTATTTACCTAATAAATTGTTTTAGCTAGGAAAGAACTATATTCATGCATAATCATAAATATGGAAGATTGATGGCTGTTTAAAAAAAAATAATTTAAGAACAAAGTTTTTTAATTCAAAAAATTTAAATATTTGACTTAACCTAAAATATATACATGCAATTTTCAAGGCCATACACGAATATTACTTTTTTCAAGGCCATACACGAATATTATTTTTTCAAGGCCATACACGAATATTATTTTTTCAAGGCCATACACGAATATTATTTTTTCAAGGCCACGAATATTATACGAATATTACTATTACACGAATATTACTATTAAGCAGAAATTTTGAAAAAAGCCTAAATAGAGTTGTAGGAAATGTGAAAATGACACATAGGCGCAAACTTTCATTTAAAATTGGTTTTTCTAAAAATAACATAAAATTGTTTTATTTTTAAAGATGTTTGAAGAAAAGACAAAAGAAATAGAGAATCTTTTTGAGAATTTTAAATTAAAAGAAAAAGAAGCCATTATGTTTGAAAAAAAGTACAGAGATGAGGCTGAGCAGGTTTTAAAATATAAAGATCAACTAGATCAGCTTGGGGCTGAACTCACTAATGCTATTGATGTTGAAAGAAATTCTAACAATTTTCTAAAGGTAATTTAATTTTTTGATTTTTACATTCCCAAGTTATTGCTTGAATAAGATTAATTTAAAGTTACTAAATAAAGATTATTGCCTTTCTTATTAATTTAAAGTTACTGAATAAAGATTATACTTGTAGATTTACCTACAAGTATTTTATTTTACTTCTGGTAAGTTTTATCATTAGTAAAATAATCTTTATTCAGTAACTTTAAACAAATTTATTTTACTACTGCTGATTTTGATGTGCGCATTTTTTTATTAGCTTATAACAATTTATTTTTTTCACTTTACTAAAAAATGGGCTAAAAATTTTTTAAATGTGTACTTAAACCTAGGAAGTTTTTTAAATGCAAAAATTTAAAGAAAACAACTTTTTTTTTTTGCCATAAAACTTCTTCATATGTAGACACAGTCCGATCTTTGATTCTCTATTGATGTATTCACTAAATTCTATGTTATCACTATTTCACTACAATGTTATCACTTTATATCAAGCTTTATTTTTTATTTTTAAAGTTTGGGCTAAAAAATTTAGATTTTAGCTCAGTTTACATATGTATAATATAAAATAGAGATAATAAGAAATTACAAAAAATCTTTAAGTAGTGAAATAAATTTGTGCATTTTATAATCTTTACTTAGTAATAATATTTAACCATTAATGATAACAAAAAAAATATAATCTAATGATAATTATTTCTATAAAAATATAATCTAATGATAATTATATATATATATATATATATATATATATATATATATATATATATATATATATATATATATATATATATATATATATATATATATATATATATATATATATATATATATATAAATATATATATATATATATATATATATATATATTTAGGATGATCTAGATTCATTTTCTAAAAAATTATTGTTTGTTGAGGAAAAAAATAAAGAGCTTTTAAATGAGCTAGATGTGACTAGCTATACTTTGCAGAAGATACTAGAATTAGATAGCTTTAAGGAAAAATATCAAGAAAAAATACCAGAATTCCGTCAAAATAGAGAAAATGATCTTTCATATCACAAAAACGATGGCCTAGATTCAGCAGTATCATTTTCAAACCAACAACAAAAGAATTCAATTGATTATATAAGTAACAGGTGCAGCATTCTTAACAAAGAAATAGAAGACATAAAAGTTTTACTTAATGAAGCTAATATAAAAAATATAAATCTTGAAAAGTATATTTCTGACACAAACTCAGAAATAAGTAAGATTTGTAGAACTTATCTCTCAAGCAATGATTTTGTTTCTAATGAGATTCTTGAAAAAGATGACACAAAAAAAGAATTAGCTGCAATTCAAAACATGTTGATGATAAGAAGTGATAATTTCAGTGAGTTAAAGAAAAGTTTATTAGAAAAAGATGAAACTGAAAAATTACTTAAAAAGGAAATTTATGATCTTAAATCCGAGTGTAGTGGTCTTAGTGCAACAATCAAAGAACTTGAGAATGTTGTCTTGAAACTTGATGATGATCTTTTAAATGCAAATAACAAACTCAGCGTAGCCAAAAATCAAGAAGATTTGTTAAAGGATGCTTTAAAAACTGAAACAATGCGTATCACTGATATGGAAAATGCACTTGGTATTTTTGTGAAAAATGGTAAGTTTCCATTTATATATCAATTATAAGTATTTATTATATACAATTATTTTTTTCATGAACATGTTTATAATTGTTTTTTTTTTTTTAATATAAAAATTTATAATTATCATCTTTTGCTTTATAAACCTTTTAAAATTTAAAAAAAATTAAAATTGTATACAAATTTTTTTTCTTTTGGAATTATTGTATTTTATATTTGCTATGTATTATTTTTTGAATGTGATGTTTTTGTCTGTTATAACAAATTTATCTATAAATAATATTTTAAGTTTGACACCCTATCAGCAATGTCATTGCTTATAGTTAATGGTATAAAAATACTACATTAACATCAGTTAAGTTCTGTTAATGACATAAAAAGGCTACATTATACTAGAGCTAAGTTTATTAAAAAACAAAAGTAGGAGATTTTAAGTTCTTTTATGTGATGATTTTCATTAAACTTAATGCGCTATTTTTATTTTTTATTTAACTAAAGCTCTGCAAGGCAAAACTTTTGATCTTTTTTGTTTTATTAGTGAAATTTAGCAGTGCGTAATTTATGGATGATCCCTAAGTTAAAATCTGTTATAACGCAGCAGGTACCAGAAATGAAAAGTCAAGTAAAGCCTTCAAATGCCTAAAATGAAATAAAATAAAATTAAAATTTTTAATTACAAAAGTGTTAAAACTAATCAAGTGATGACAAAGGCAACTAAAAAAAAGAACATAATTATGTTTGAATTTATAAAAAAATTTAAAATTATTTTAATTTAAAACTTTTATTAATTGTTACTATAAATAGTAAAATTCATACTTAGCTTTGTTCGAAAGTGTCTAAAGTAAAATCAAATTAACAGACATTAACAGGGCTTGACACTAAATTTTGGCAAGTAAGTTTCATGCTCACCAAGTAGCATTTCTTACATTTCAATAAAAATTAATTTCATTTTTCTAGCTCTATCTCTTTTATTTGAAAGTAACTATTTTTAAGTCGCCTATTAGGATTTAAACTAATAACTTTTTTGAGGCTAATATTATCCATTTTGATTTCACTGTTATCATTAAACATATTACCAGTAATATTACTATTTTTACAACTGAATAAAAAAAATAAAAGAATCTTACATATATATATATATGTATATATATATATATATATATATATATATATATATATATATATATATATATGTATATATATATATATATATATATATATATATATATATATATATATATATATATATATATATATATTTTGCATACCTTTTAAAAGAAGCATAACACTTTAAACAATAAAACATGAAAAAGCATAATCTTTTTTTTTCAACTTCTTCCAGCAGAATTTTTTTTTTTTTAAGAGAAAATATTCATATAGATAAAGAGAAATTATAAGATATACTGAAATATAGGCACATTTATGTATATAAACTTAAGGGTCAACAAATTACAGTCAAAATAATAAAAATAAAAATAAAAAAAAACATTGATCCCCTATCTATAGATTATAAATTAACAGAAATAATAATCCATTTATATAATTAGAATATACTTACAATAGACAGATTTATAAAGATTTTGATAAGAAATGTAATAGTACCTCATCTTGAGTGTTAGAAAAAGCAAATGTATCACTAACACCATGAGATTTTTTAAACATTTCTCAGTTGGCTCGCCTAATGTAATACCAAATATAGTAGTTTACTTATGATTTTAACAGTTATTGCTGTGGATTTGGCTAAAAGACTTTTCTTTATACTCAAGCAAATACAAAAAGTACACAGTAATAGACATAAGAAGTTGGAAATTTTAAAATTGCTGACTACAATCAGACTATTAATTAGTTTTTAAAATAAAATATTTTTTTAGTTTTTTAAATTTTTTTAAAATTCTATTAAAATTTCATTAATTTCTAGTTTTTAATTAAACAAAAAAACAAAAAAAAAACAAAACAAAACAATAATAATAATGCAACTTAGTGTATTTCAAATAAAAGGTGCTTTACAAATTACTACATAATTACACCAATCATGAAAAGCAATGAAATGTTTTTTTGTTTTTTTTTTTGTTTTGAAGCATTTTTATAAAATGGCGAAAAAATTTTGTATTATTATTTTGTTTATAAAAAACATCACAAGATATCTTAATTTTAGTATTGACTGTTTCTTTAAATTATCTGATTTTGATGATATTTTGGTCTCAGAAGAATAGAAAGAAGCAAATGTAACTCCTCTTTTCAAAAAATATCTTTAACTTTAATCCTCTGCAAGAATACAAATCTTCGCTGACAAATTATTTAAATTCCAATCAACTTTGACTATTCATCAACATAGTTTTAGAAATGGTAGAAGCTGTACAACAAATTTTTTAGATTATTTAAACATAACTAGTGGTATAGACGAAGGAAAATTACTTGACATATTATATACTGATTTTGAAAAAGAGTTTTAACCTGTTCCACATAAACATTTGTTATTAAAATTATCATCCTACAACATTCAACTTAAATTAGATCAAGAAATTTTTGTCTAAAAGACAACAAAGCTCTTGGCAATATTACTTCAGTGTTGTAAGTGGAGTAGTCCAAGGATCAGTATTCAGTCCATTGTTATTTTTGATTTATATAAACAATTTACTTGAACAAATAACTAACACTATAAAATTGCATGAAAACTTTATTGAACTGCTCAATTCTTTAAAAGATCATTGATGCAAAACAATAATAAGTTAGGACATATGGATTTCAATGGAACATGGATTTCAATGTTGATAACTGTAAAATAATGCACTTTAGTAAACATAATCAAAACTTCGATTATTACAAGACTAATAATGAAAGTAAAATCAAATGATTAAAAACAAATATTGAAAGAGATTCAGGAATTTTGATATCAGACAATTTGAAATGGATTTAATAGATCAGAGCAGCAATATCAAAAGCAAATACTAAATTAAGTAAATTGGCTCAGCTTTTAATTATTAAATTTGTGACTCTTTCAAGAAGTTATATTTTACATACATAAGACCACATCTCCATTTTGCTGTTCAAGTATGGAATTTATACTTTAAAAAAATGTTGATATACTCGAAAATGTGCAGAGATACGCAACTAAGTTATTTAAAAACTTTGGCATATAAAATTCGCCGAATGGTCACACACGAGCAGTGAACGCCTGAGGGAAGAAATGAAGTACATTAGAATAAAGGAGAATTATTTATTAGACAAAGCATATTTTGACAGTTGTCAAGACAAAAATAATAATTAATAGAGGAATATTTAAAAATAAATAAGACAAACTATACAACCAAAACAGTACTCAACCATAATAACAATAAAAAAAAAAAAAAAAAATTTAAAAAAATTAAAAACGAATAATAACAAATAATAATAAAATATATATATATATATATATTTATATATATAAATAAAAAATTAAAAATAAAAAAAAAAAAAAAAATTGTTTTATAATTACCAATATGAACTAAAATATACAAGAAATACATAACCAGTCAAAAATTTGTAAAACAAAAAACTATTCAACAAATTAAAAATATGCTAACGACAATGAAAGGACTAATAATGGAAAAAAAACAAAAACATTAATGCTAATGTGTAAACATAATTAGTGTAGTGATAAGTAATAAACATCTCCTCAGAGTCGCGTCTATTATTAATGGCGTTTCGATGAGGATCAGCATTTATAACTAGTTTATCCCGTCAGACAAACGTCATCGCCACTTATGCCTTACCCCGCGACTTACGCCTATTCCATACTGCAGTAAAAAAGGACTCACTACAAATAGCCAAAACCCAACCAACCCCAAATTTGTAAAGCACCAATATTTTTCTTGATGATATGATATCAAAAGAAAATACTAAATTAAGTATTATTGGCTCAGCTTTTAATTATTAAATTTGTGACTCTTTCAAGAAGTTATATTTTACATACATAAGACCACATCTCCATTTTGCTGTTCAAGTATGGAATTTATACTTTAAAAAAATGTTGATATACTCGAAAATGTGCAGAGATACACAACTAAGTTGATACATGCAATCAGGCATACAAAGTAAGGTTAATCAAAGTAAATCTAACAACATTGACCAAAAGAAGAAATCGTGGTGATTTGATTCAATTTTATAAATTTTTCTATTATATAGAAGACATCTCATGATACAATCCACCTACGTTTTTTGCATCGTTTTTGCTGTCTGGACCAGCTGGCATTAAAAGAAAGAATCAATTTAAACATTGTTTATGCATTCAACAGGTTAAATGCCAAATTAGAGAACATTTTTTCACAAATCAAATACCAGAATCAACCGTCAGAGCATCAACATTAAATAATTTTAAAAGCAAAGTTAAAAGTGTAACATTGAGTACTTTTTTTGAGTTGTCTTATAACTAAACTTTACCAAACGTTTTATAACTATTATTTATTTATTTATATCTAAATTAGTATTTGTTAAATTATTATTGTTACAGTTTGTCATAGATTTAACGTGACATTAAATCTCAACAGCAATACTTATTTTTGTTATTATTATTAAAAAAAATGTTTTTTTTAGTAAAATAAATAACAAAAATACGAATATAGACATTTTTTTTTTAAATATCTTTACTTCCAAGGCTGTAAGCTACCACTATTAGAGTTTATTAAAATTTTTTTTCTATTAAAATTTACTGGAAGAGAAAAAATAAAGTTTATAGAACAAGATAACGATTAACAGACAACAAGATTGCAAATTATATGAATCAAGAAAACAAGATGATGGAAGCGAAGTCCAAAGAACTGATGTTTGAGGAAAAAAACTAGAGGAATAAGAGTTTTTGGAGCACTTAGGAACAGTCACAGAAAAAGGATGACACAATTGAATGAGGAGTAACGCAAGAATGAGTTTTAGTAGATGGCACAAGAAATGCTAGCTCTTTAGAGCAGTACTCATTATAGTATTTATAGAAAAGAGGAAAAGAAGCAACATTAAAGAGATGTGATTATGGTTCGAGGTCCAACTATGTTTACAAGGCGTTTTTGCCTTTTTGGAAAGAACAATAGCCTTAACCTCTCCATATCTATCTAATGCACATTAAAACCTATCAGTTGTTACCATTAACAAATCAGCTGTAGAACAAGAAGATTGAAATCCATTGTTGTTCTTCCATCAGCTTTTTAAAACAAATAATTTCTACTGAAACTTGAGCAAGCTTCTGGAGCAAATAATTTTTAAATTATGTTTGTGTTAAGGATAAATTGTAGCTGTTACTCTTTGAGGCCAGTTAAAATATGCCAATAAGGCATATATTAACTGGCCTCTAAGACTTTTAAGGCGAAGAAACTTAATTTTAGTATCACCTTCCAGGTTGATTTCAGTTTTGATGCTGATCCACCACTTATTGTTGTAGACTACTGTAGTGGTAGTCTACAACATCAATTTCTAAAGTGAAAGCTTAAGTTTAGTTCTTTTTTCTTTTTAAGTTAGTGAATTATTGTGTTTGTACTGTACCTCTTTGCCAATTCCTGTTATCCTCAAGATATATGACCTGATGAAAGGTATGAGTAACAAGGCGAGTTGCTACACAATTTTAACTTTCTTGTTGTTCTAAATTATCTATAAAAGTCGTTATTTTCCAAAGCAATTCTTAATTTAAAAACTCACAATTTTTTTTTCTCTAAATTTCCATTATAAAAAATACATACTATATATAAATAAAAAAAATGTTATGAAACTTTAATTAATACTTAAAAAATATATTAAATAAAGTAAAAAAAATCATTTTTTACTTTATTTAATAGTGTTGTGAAAATATAAAAAAAGTTAGTAATTGTACTATAAAAAAGTGAATCATTCTAAATATCTTTACAATAATTTTTATTTTATTTTATATTCTTAGCAGGAATAAAAGAAAAGTTTATATTTTATAAATGTTGAATTTAATTATTCAACTTGCTTTACCTTGAACAATCTTTTTAGTATTGATAAAGTAGAGAGAAAACAAAAGCAAAAGAAAATTGTTTGCAGTTAAACTTTAAATAAATTTGTTACACAAATTTATTTTAATTATGTACATCACTATTAAATATGTTTTTAAATAATTTAAACATTTATCTATATATATTGTTGTCTTTTATGTTTATTTTTATATTATTAATGTTAAAAAAAGAAAAAAAAATGCTTAATAGTATTAAACTATTATAAAAAAACCTTTTTGGTTTCCATGATCAAAAACATTGGCAGCAATAAGTAATAAAACTTACTTAAATCAATAGCTCTATAGCTATGATGCTTAATAGATAAGAAACCTGATTGGCTTGCCAATTTAGCTTGAATAGAAGGTTAGTCAAAAGAACTTTTTTTGCAATATGCTGTTTTAGAATTAATTTAAATAAGCAACAAAATCGTTTAAACGGCAGACTTGCTGCCCTCATTGCACAAGGGCAGCAAGTAATTTTTAGGCAGGGAATTTAAATATCTAGTAACTTTTGTATTTATTTATTATATAAAAAAATTTTGAATTTAAAATTAGTAAATTTCGTTTTGTAAATAAAACTTTTGCTTTTATAAATAAAATAAAATTAAAATTTATGTAAATTTAATGATCATCTTTCATGTTTTATACAAATATAACATAAATAATAGGTTTCATTACAAGTTTCATTTTTAATTTGTTGTTGTTGTTGTTGTTGTTGTTGTTGTTGTTATTTTTGATGTACTGTACCAGCAAACTTAGTTTAAAGTATTTTCAATTCCCCTAATAAAAAAACGCTAGTAACATATTTTAAAGTATATTATTTATTATTTATTAACATGCAAAGATTTTTATAACTTTATTAATTTAAGATAAACAGTAAAATAGTAAATAAAGAGTTTTTGAATAATAAGAATAAATAAAAAAAAAACATTATTAAACATTAAAAAATCTAAGCTAGAAAATAACTGACATCAATTAAAAAATAAAGTTTTTTTTTAAATTTTAAATGAATGATCTTGCTTTTTTAATGACAACCCTTTTTTTTTCACATTAAAAAATAACACTGTTCTTGATCAATTTAATTTAATTCTGTTGTGCGTACTTATCCAAATCTTTAGACTAATACATCGATTTGATATAAATAATTATATATATCAACCAAAAATTATTAACTCCTTGTCATGTGGTCACCATCCTAAAATAAGGTGTGAATATGTTCCAAACCGTCTTCCAAGTCACAACCAACTTTATATAGAAGATCAGCAAAATACTGAAACAAACTACCTTAGCAAGAAACTTTCTACTTAACTGTACTTTCTTTAAAATTAGACTAGATCACTAGTTGGGGATAAAATTTGGAACAAATATTTATAAAACTGGTTGTTTATAGTAGGGCGTATTACCTGTTTGCTGTATATATATTGTATGTATATTTTATGGCTGCAACAATAATAATTATAAATAACCTTCAATTTAGTTATTGCTATAAGCAGGATAAGCTTTTTAACCTTGGAGTTTTGAAAATTCTCCTTATGGTTGTATTACAATAAAAGTTTTTGATCTGCAAGCATATAGTATGCATAGTTAAAATAGAAATATAGTTTTTTCAGAGAAATTTTAAATTTTGTTAGTATTTGTATTCTGTTTGTTTGCTTGCTTCTTTTAATAAAATGTTTTTATTAGCACATAAAGATTTTTCAGTGGATAATTTTGAAGAAATTTTAAACATACTTGAATGTGAAAGAAAAGAGTTAGAAGAATCACTAATAAGCGCTATAAAGGTAAAATATTTACAATTTTATAAAAATGAATCTAGTTGTAACTTTATTTTCAGTATATCATTTTGTGTGAAGCAATCTTCTTTTTTACTTATTTCAGTCTTAGCTTGTAAAATAATGAATAACTTTTCTTGAAAAAGCCCCCTTAATAATTCTTGTAAATATATGGATCAAAGTATATTTTACTTACTTTGTCTGGAGAGTGTGTTATAATAAGATCTATTGTTTTAATGCATTTATCTTTTTTAAATATAAATGCTGTTACACAGTGTATAGATTGATAAAAAATGAATTATTAAGCTTATTAATAAAATTTGCTTCTATTGGTTTACTTGGTCCTTTGAAGCTTGTTAAATAATTATTGTTGCAAAAAAATTTTTTTTTTTCTCCTTGTTCCAAACTTTGTTAGAATAAAAAAAAAGTTGTCTATAAAAGTCCTAATAACAATTTACTGTCAATAGATTCTTTAATTATTCAATTTAGTTTTTTCTATCATTTTAGCAAGTGGTACAAGGCTCGAATTATGCAAAAAAATCTTACCACAAAAAAATATTTATGTTTTTGCCCCCACCAGTAATTGGAAGGGGTGGGGTTAATATAAAACTTTATCTTTAGCACATAATTGTTATTTTTTAAACATATTATCTCTTCTATTTAAATATTATCTTATAATTTTTTGGTTTGATGGAATTTAAAATAGCGTAAGTTACTGTTATAATTTACAGCTTAAGATATAATTTAAAGTTTAAGTTGCAGTTATAGTGTAATGAGCAAGTAATGTATTTAATACTATTAAGATATTTCCTTTAGTAATTGTTTTTTAATTAAGAACTTAACTTAAAAATTTTAACTTAAAAAAAAAAAAGTAAAAAAGTAAGAGTAAAAAGCAAATATTAGAATTTTAATTTTTAATATTTAATATTTAAACCACTTTAATTAGTCATAGAAAACTACTTAATAGGTTCATGCTGACAATAAAACACGTGTTATTTTTAAAGAGTATTTAATTATTATTGTGAAAAGGTATAAAACAACTATAAAACAAGTTGCAAATTTTGTTTTATTGTTGTGTAAAAACAACTACGTAAAAAACTTAACTTGTGAAAAACAACAACGTATAAAAGTAGTTGTTTTTCACAACAATGCTGTTTTTATGCAACATGTTAGATTTTGACGTAGTTGTAAAAACAACATGAAAAACTAAACTTAACTTGTTGCATAACATCGATAAATAAATCGAATTATATTAAGTATAAGAATATGCTTAAAATATTTTGTTAGAGAAATTTTTTTTGAAAAGAATTAAAATATTTTATTAATTTTTGTTTTACAATCACTGGTTTAATGTTTGCAATAGAATGTTTCTGCTGCTATTTTCAAGAAACAAAATATAATTAACTATTCAAAATGTTTAAGAAATTTACTATTTACAAAAAAAAAACTTTCTTAATGTTTCTTTAAATTATTTTAAAATTTTCCAATTTTTTTTCAATTTCAAATTTCAATTGCAAAATTATTTGAAGATACTTTTAAAAAACTAAAGTTCTTTTTTTCAAATAGATTTCTTTTTATATAAAGTTCTTAAAAACTATTGCTTTAATAAAAATGAAATTGTTGAACAGAACATGATTTTCATATTCTGTTCAATAATTTTTGTTAAAATAATTTTTAGTAAGAAGTTTATATCATGCATTAACAACATATAAGATATAAATAGAAACATTTTCTGGCTCACTTTTGTGAGTCTTTGAGTATATTAAGTATATTAATATAATTGTATAATAATATATATTTTTTTTAATAAAAAAGAATTAATATATATTTTAAAACACTTGAAGATAAAATAATAATTTAAATTATTATTAATAAGTTAATATGGTGCAACCTTTTAAAAGATGTTTTGTTAAAAATAAGAATGTAGAAAAAATTCTCTTAAACGTCTTTTCTCTTTTCAACTTTTTGCTTTAACGATCTTTTAAAATATTATTAGCTTCCTTGCAGAGTTTTAAAGTAAAAAGTGCTTTACTTTAAAGTAAAAAGTGCTTTACTTTAAATGAAAATCTCTGCGCAGAGAGAAAATGATCATGCTTCTATTCAAAAGATAAATTAAGTGTGATTTTCTCTATGACAAAAACATTACTTTTAAGAATTGCGGAAAGAAAATGCTAAATTAAAAAAAAAGTAAATAAACAACAACAACAAAAAAATCGCATAAATATTTTTTTAAAGAAAATACCCAAAAGTGTGAAAAGCAATAGCGATTCACAATCGCGATACTCTTAATTCGAGCTCTGTGATATATACATCCATTCAGTAACTTGTTACTGCTGCTGATTGGGAATGAAAGCCCTAGTTGTTCAGAATGTTCAAATTTAAAGCAATAATAAATTTAAAACAAAAATAATTTCAATTACATTTACTTGAATAAATAGCAGCTTTTCTTTCAATGACATTTTCCACCATGTCTAAAAAGATCATAATATTTTAGATTTAAACATGTTATTTTGCTAAACCATGTTTTTGTAATAAATATAATTTCTATAGATGTAGAGAGAACAACATCGATTAGTTCAAGCAATTTTTCTTTTTTTAAAGATGTAGAATTTGTATTTAAGTTTTTAGTTATTTACTTTACAAGAGTTATTATTAATATTGATTAACTTTATCGTCTCTTTTTATTGTTTACTATAGAATTGCTGCTATTGATATTTATTTAGGTTTTTTTTTGATTGTTTACTATAGAATTATTGCTACTGGTTACTGATATATATTGAGGGTCTTTTTTGATTGTTTACTATAAAATTGTTGCTACTAGTTACTGATATTTATTGAGGGTCTTTTTTGATTGTTTACTATGGAATTGTTGCTACTGGTTTTATATTTGAGGTTTTAAAGCATTAAATAAGCAGGTATTACAACTGCCAATAGATTTTTGGCCTAAGTTTAGTATCATACACTTTTTTGGTAAATGAGGTTATACCAAAACAATTACTATAATTTCAAATACTTATGTCAAAAAAAAAAAGTTTAGCAAAAACATTTTTTAATTGTATATTTGTATAGTGTTTTTGCTTTTAAAACTCCAATTTATGAACAAAATCAATCAATAAAAATAAATACAAAATACTTGAATAATTCATAGATAAACTTTAATTATTACTTCTTCTTTTTTTAAAACAAAAAGACTATAAGTATAGATTGATCTGTTTCATAGATCAATGATGTGGACCTAATCGCTGTGGATGACAAATCTAAAGAGCTGAGCACTACCTTTTTATGAGCATTATCATCAGCCTCTTGTCTTTCTTTGAATAATCTAACATTTCAGTTTGTTTAGCTATTGTTTTTTTAAGCCAAATATGGATGTTTTCATAGGTACCTTTACAAAGGTGTTTAGAAAATGCTTTTAAATTCAACTATAAATGTTGGTTGAAGCAGTGTCTTACATTTATTCTTTGGTTTGAACTACATTGGCACTAATATTTAGTGAATATAAAATATCTTCTACCAGATATTTTACATTCACTAAACTTTCTTCTTTTTTTTTCAATAAGGTTACTTCTGTCTGAAGAGATAAAAATAAATATAGCTTTTTTGAATTATTTTCCCGGTTTTGCAGATCATGAGGCAATATCCAGATATGAAGGTTGTGTTTATTGAGCATTGTATTTTGCTGTTGAATTTTCTAATATTTTTTTCAAATTGTTTTTTTTAAAACTGAATGCAGCCCTCTAAAAATTAGTTTGAATTCTTTTGAATAACATTTAATCAATGGAAAAAATGTCAGCTAATAGAAACCATTGTTTCTAGTTTTTTTTTGTTAATTCAACTCCTTAAGGCTGAGAAGGCCACTACATATGAGGAGGCCACTTATTTGTGGTTATAACCTTTTCTTAACGCTATAACTCCAAAACACGAACCTTGATTAACAAGGCCGCTGCGTGGTATAACAAGTTAAGCGTGGTACTACCAGGGACATGGTGGGGGTTGAACTCGGAACCTCTCGCTTATGAAGCAAGCAAACTACCACAACACCACTACTGCAAAATTGCTACCTAAATTGGTAAATTGCAAAATTGAATTCTAATTAAATTCACTTCTATTTAAATAAAAGCAAATGCTTTTATTTGTTTATTTTATTTTTTACAAAATCTTCATGTTTTTTATTTCTTTAGGAATAAAAAAATCCAATTTCAATTTTTTTTTTCATTCTTTTTTTACTTCTTCCTTCTTTTTTCTATCAAGCATCAACATAGGAAACTTAAAAACCCTTTGTTTTTAAGTTTTATGGTTGGATTTTTTGTTCAGTCAAAGTAATATTTACTAGAGCTACAAGATCAAAATTGGTCAACACTAAAACCTATTTTATGATATGGATGAGCCCTATCCTGTTAAATTTACTTCTATTTAATTATGAAAAAAGTTAATCTATCAGAGGTGTGATAAGGTTTTTACTTAAGATCTTCAATACAATTTATGTCAACCATTTTATGTTTATTTTTATTATTTTACAAGTACTACTACTATTTATTAAAAGTTTAATAAAACTTTGTTTTTTAGGAGCGTGATAATTTTCAAGAAAATAATGCTAGATTTGAAAACTTACTAGCTGCAGAAAAGCAACGGTTCAATCAAGTGTTATCCCAAATAGATGTATTAAAGTCTTCTCATGAAGTTAGTGAAAAAGAAATGATTAATGCAATAAACAAGTTAAATGAGGAAGTTAAATCTTTAAAGTAAGTCTATTTCATAATATTAAAAAAAAAATTGGTTTAAAATTTTGAAATTTTACTATGCTCCATCATCATCATAAACATCATCATCATCATCATCATCATCATCATCATCATCATCATCATCATCATCATCATCATCATCATCATCATCATCATCATCATCATCATCATCATCATCATCATCATCATCATCATCATTATCATCATCATCATCATTATCATTGTTATCATTATTTTACTGTCAAAATGAGCTATTAGTATTGTCTTATATAAATGTTTTTTTATTGTTTTGGGCTATTCTTAGTCATTTGTCTCTGTGTTAGGCTTAAAGATACAGTCATATCTTTGGTGTCCATTCCACTTATTGTCATTGCTAGCTTTTTGTTTTGTTTAATTAAAGTTTGAATATCTTTTTCTAGTATGCTGTTCTTTTCAGCGTTTTGGAAAATTTCTAATATTGGTAATTTGTGATAAAATTAATTTGTAATCTCATAATAAATTAATTTTTCTAAATCCAATCCTAATAATAACCTAATGTTCTATATTTAAAGCAGATTCTCACAAACTTTTATTTTTTATTTTTTTTTGAAATCTTAATCAACATCCAAAAAAGCTGCAAGGCTTTGGCTAGTTAAAGAACAAAGAAGCGTTTGACACAAAAATTGGAACCACACAAGCCATTTTCCAGCAGGCAGGAAAACAAGTTTCAGTCAATTACTTATTAAATAGTTTAGAGAAAATTGAAGAGAGTTTTCAAGAACACTTTTGATAGACTGTGACAGGAATTTCGTCTGAACCACAAGCCCTAGAAATGTTTAATTGAGAAATGATTGTAGCAATGGAAGCTGGAATGATTTAAATGCTTAAGAAATGGTTAACCGGTTTAACTGTAATGGCAGGAAGAGTAAATCATTAAATCGTAAGTCATTAAATTCAAGAGTTGAATTAGAGGAAAATTCTGCCTTATTCTTGGAAAAGGTTATAAGACCAAGCCCATGAGTTAGAGATGGGATGTTTGTCTTACTATTGTTAATGGCACTGTTGAAGATTTTCTAAAAGTCTCTTGAGCCTTCTGAGATAAGATATAAGATTTAGAAAACTGGGAATAATAAGCTTAGCATTAGACAGCATCTTTTTAAATTGATTGCTTACAATAATAAACAGGCATTTGTATTCAAGAGAGTTGTTCTTTTGAAAAAGATGAAAAAAATAATTATGATTAGATATAACAGCTGCACAAGTAAATAAATTAATGGGTTTAAAAAAGTATGAGATAAAAGATTTTTAGAGATCATTGCATGGTCAGAACTACCTAAAGAAGAACAAGGAAAAATGAATACAAGCTAGGGTCACAAACAAGACACAAATGAAGGAGTAAAGGTTAGCCTTTCTGAGAGCTACCACAGAGTTTTGGAAACCTCACTATTAGCTGGCTTTAGAATCAGTAAACTAAGTTTTAGACCATCATTAGGAGACAACAGATAGGGTTGCATAACTACTAGCTTAAAGTAAAAATCTATGAGTAGAGTCAAAAAGATCTATCATTTATCATCCTAGGCAGGAAAGAATGTAACAGGTTTACATCTATGCCAGTCTAATAAATGAAGGAGGGGTGTGTTTCTGATCAACAGAATTATTCTGCTTACCCATTAAGTCTTTTCCTAGGCCTTCTACCAGACAGTAGCTTGAAGTTGTAAATATCTGCTTAAGATTATTAGTTAAATTTAGATATAGTCATTTACTCAACCAAAAGCCCCTGGCAGGGGAATTTTAAATCAGAGTTTTTTTCTCCTAACCTTTGCCTAGAATGCAATCCCTGCAAGGCAGTAGGACATGGTACAGATAGTATTGGGTTACATGTTACCAATAGCAGCGTGGTTTTCTGCTGCCTTGCAGGAGTCACTAAAGTGAATCCTGCAAGGCAGCAGAAAAAGAAGCAGGCTGTACTGTTTTGCATGTTACCAGTAGCAAGGTGATTATGATGACCAAATGCCTAACCATATGGTCCATAGACCTGACTATAGGCCTGACAAATAAGTTGGACTTTTGCATATATATATATATATATATATATATATATATATATATATATATATATATATATATATATATACATACATACATACATACATACATACATACATACATACATACATACATACATACATACATACATATATATATATATATACATATATATATATATATATATATATATATATATATATATATATATATATATATATATATATATATATATATATATATATATATATATATATATATATATCAGGCTTCGACAGGAATGGCGTGCAATCGCACTCTGTAACTGACCACGCTAATATATTTGTTTCTTTACAACTTGACCATGGCTATTTTGATGTTTTAACAATTTGAATGCAATAAAGAAAGTGTTACGTTAAATATCTTTTAATCGTTGATCTTTTCTAAAGTTTTTTATTTTACGAAAAGGCTTTAAATAAAGCCATAAAATTAATTATAGTTATTGTTTACATAAACGCTTGTGTAAATTAATAAAAAACATTACATATAAGTTTTTTTTATGTAGGCATGTATTTTTTATGATAAATTTAAACGTTTGAAACTATTTTTTTATGTCTTCCTAAAAGATTTTTAAATCATTATTTTTAGAAAGAATTTTTTTAAGTTTAATTTGTGAATAAGTTCAAAAGCTTTTGTCACTACTAGCTTTTACACAATTTGTGCAAATTACTCAAGAATATAAAATAACTTTATTTACTTATAAGCAGGGGTGTGGAGTTGTAAAAAAAAAGTAACGACTCCGACTCCAGTTGTTGAAATTTTTTGAGTACAACTTCGACTCCAACTCCGACTCCGACTCCAAAGCAAAATTTTTTTAGTTAAAAAAGACTCAAAAGCAAAATTTTTTTAGATAGAAATTTTACTATCGGAGTTGGAGTCGCGATATTTTTTAGCGACTCCGACGCCGGTAAAATTGTCACAACTCCGCAACTCCGACTCCACAGTCCTGCTTATAAGCATGTATTTTGTTGGTTAATGAAAAAGTTTTAAAGCATTTTGTAATGTTCATATGGTTAATTTCTTTAAACTTACGATTAATTTGATTAAACTTACGATTTTTTAAAATGTTTTAAATAAACATTTTATTTTTTGTAAACATTTTTTTTTTTGTTTCAATTTTGTTGGGAATGAATGGGTTTAAATCATTTATAATAATTTTTAAATTCGTTGCGCGAAGCGCTTTCAAATAAAGTTGCAAAGCTTAAATTAAAATTAAATTAAAATGCTTGTTGGCAGTTGATTTTATTTAAATCGCAAGCGCATTTTATTTATTTTTCTATTTTTATGAATAAAACGTTGAAATACTTTTTTTTAATAAGACTTACTAATTAGAGCATGAATTTAGTAAAATTTACTATTTTAAAAAGACTACATTATATTTTTAAACAATTTTTTTTTGTGCAACTTTTTTGTAAAAATAAATGTTTATACAATTTAAAAAAATTATATACAACACTTTTTAATAAATTTATTAAAATTTGTTCATTTATTAAACCAATCATTAGTAGTAATTTATTACTTAATTTAAAAACGTTTTGCGTAACTTTAATACTGTTTACAGGCCTTCTCTTAAGAGGCGTGCACGCCTTATATGACCAGGCATATAGTTCTTTGATTTAACAACTTGACCACAGCTCATTGCAAGTTTTGATAATTAGCGCATTTAAAAATTGCGCTAAAAAAAACAAAGCAAATTAAAATAAATGATCCATAAACTGAAAAGAGAATAAAATCCTTAAAATAGTATATATAACAAAAATTAACCTAAAAAAAGTAAACTATTTAAAGAATGATAAAATAAATAAGGGAAAAACCAGAAAAAAAACCAAAACACGTATTAATTAATTTAAACTTAATTGGAAGCAAAAGTGAAAAAATCACAGCTCTAATAATCTTTATCATTCCTTCCCATGAATAAATAGGCTAATACAAAGGCGGATCCATAGTGAGGGAAAGGGTAATGAAATTTAATAAAATTTTGTGGTGCAAATTTAAAATTTCATTAAAAGTTAATAGGATACAGGGTGCAACAAATCGACAAATGTATGCGCATTTCTCTAAGACAGACAGAAAAAACAAACATCACGTTTCTTTAATTTTGCTTATGCAAACGTTGCCGTTTGATTAAGATTTTTCAAAACAAACGCGTTACTTTAGCAATTTTTTCAAAATAATTTTGCGATCAATAGTTTTTTATTTATTACAAAAAACACATATTTAAAATGAAAAAAAATTAATTGCAGAGATTTTTTTTAAAAAATGCCAAAACATAATTACTTTTTTCAATTGCGTCACTTTTAAGTAAAATAAAAAAAAGTAATTATGTTTTAGGATGGTTTTTGCATGCGCTCACAAAAATATGATAATTTTACTTAAAATAGATGCTTTTGCAAAAACTTCAAAAGAAACCGTCCTTAAACAATTTGATTGCTTTCTTTTATTGAAGAAAGCAATCGTAATGTTTAAACTTGGTTTCTTTTCTGCTTTTAGCAATTATATTAAAAGTTTAAAGCAAATGATTTCATTACTAATAAAATTGTGCATGTTTTTTTTTTTAATTTTCTTATTTTCCATAAACTGAAATAATGTTTGTTTGCATATTAAAAACACTTTAAAAAATTTTTTTTATTGTGTGTTTATCATTAATTTGCGCGCGCTTTGCAAATGTGTAAAAAAAGCGTCCGATCTTTATTAGAAATTATAGTTCCATGATAAAAAGGTTTGTAATTATTTTTTAGTAGCTTCTGTATTCATTTAGCCTTAAACTCTAATCTCAATATTTTTTTCAACGATTGCTTTTATTAAGTTGCATTAAAGTACTCAGGAAATTTTGTTGCAGTTTAATTGTAATTATAGAATCAATTAAATTAAAAATTGTATTTACTTAAATTAAAAATTGTATTTGCTTTGTTTTCTTTAAGCGCATTTTTTAAATGCGCTAATTATCGAAACTTGCCAAGAGCCGTGGTCAAGTTGTTAAAACAAAGAACTATATGCGTGGTCATATAAAGCGTCCGATTGCACGCCTCTTACGAGAAGGCCTGGTTTAAAAAGGTAACGTTTATTTCATACGTAATTAAAAACGTAACAAAAAGTTTCACTTCGAATTTAAGTTTTTATTTTCATTTTAGTGCTTATATAATTTTTTTTTCTTTATGAATTTGTTTTTCGTTTCTTTTTTCGTTAGGAATTTTTTTTTCGTTAATTTTTTTTTTAAATTTTTTTCCTAGTTTAAGTTTTGCTTAGCGTTTCTACATTCAGAGCATTTCTGAAATTTTTAAATCATCAAAACAAAATCATTTTTCAACAAAATCAAAATAAAATCATTTGCGTGGTCAGCAATAACGCTTGATCGCATGCCATTCCTGTCCAAGCCTATATATATATATATATATATATATATATATATATATATATATATATATATATATATATATATATATATATATATATATATATATATATATATATATATATATATATATATATATATATATATATCTGTGTGTGTGCGTGTGTCAAGGGAGTCAAGGGAGTTACTTCTTTTATAATTTTTTAAAATAAACTCTATAATCGTCAAATATGGTCATGTAAGTGCAACTGCACGCATCAGGAGACGTGCAGTTGCACGTCTTATATGACCATGCATACAATATTTTTTTTGACGACTTGGCCATGGTTTTTTGCATATATTGATAATTTGAGTGATTTTAAAAATGCACTAAAAAAACTTAACTAATTTAAAGAAAAAGTTAAACATAAACAAACCATAAACTGAAAAGAGAAACAAACTTTATAAATGCTAAAGGATAAACCAGAGAAGAAGAATAAAATAAATAAAGGATAAACCAGAGAAGGCTTGTATAGTATAAATATAATCCTATAATATAAATTATAAATCCTTTTTCAACATTTAAGAGAGGATTTATAACATGACTCTTTACAAAGCTGCTGCGCAGATAAACAATTAAGTGCAATACTACCAGAAATTTAATGGAGATTGAACTCTGAACTAAGAAAAATGTATTAAAAATGTTTAGAAAGCAAGTGTTTTAATTACTACTACATTGTGTATATATAAAATATAAAATAAGGTTCAAAACTTCAAAAGTTAAATAACTGTGTTTAATGATTCAACAAACTAAACATTTTAAATACTATTAGCTAATTTCTATTTGTAAGAATTATATAGGAGAACTCTAACTGAAAACTTAAAAGTCTGTTATAGTATAAAACATATATTATACAGGCTTGGCCTGGAAGGCATGCGATTTCAAGTCTTTATATGACCACGCAAATAAAATTTTGTTTTGACAATTTAATCATGGTTTTCAACAAATGCGCTGAAAAAATGATTTTCAATTACGTTGAAAATAAATAACTTCAACACATTTATCCATACTAACATTTTTATATTGGCAAAATGCTTTAAAATAAAATATCTAATGATTTTAATTAAAATATAATTTGTATAAATTTGTATAAATTTTTATTTATAATATTCAATTATATAATATTTTTTATAAGTGAAATAAAAAAAGTAAAAATTATATTAAAAAAAATTAAATTTTATAACCATACTTTAAACAGCGATGGTCTCTTAATAAACTTTATATAAGAATCATTAAAGTTAATTCACTTGAAAAGTAGAAATTTTTTGTTGAGAAGAAAAAATTTTTTTCACATTTAAAAGTTAAAAAAAAAAGTTTTTTTAACTTTTAAATGTGTGCATTTATTAAACAGTCATTAGAAATAAGTTGTTACTTAATTAAAAAAGGCTTTTGAATAAGGGGTCATCCATAAAGTACGTATGCTCATAGGGGAGAGGGGAGGTCTTCAAAAAACGTATGAAAGCCTATGGGAGGGGGGGGGGGTATGTTCACTTTAAAAGTACATACATCGATTTTCTAATTTATCACAATTAACCAGCTAATTAATAGAAAAGTTAAAATTCTGTCTAAATATCCTAGTTTTTGAACATAAAAAGTTGTTTGGTATAGGGAGTAGAGGGTATAGTTTTCCTCAATGCACACACATGCATGGCGGCCCGCAGGATTTTTGATGTTCCAGATAGGACACTTTCACATATTGTGCAAACTTCAAACTTAATTATTTTTATACCTATGCCAAATGAGGAGGCCTTGCAGAAGGTGGAGGCCTGGGAGCAAAAAAGGCCAAAAACGCCTCCCCTCCCTCAGAAAAAGAAAAAAAAAAGAGGAGGAGGGGTGTAAATTTTGTATGGTCATAACTTTTGTAATTTACAATATTTTTCTTTGAAATTTAAAAGCTGTCTGTAAATTTAAATTTAGTTTTAGATAGTAAAGTTGAAATTTTACTACATTAGTGCCCTCACGCTAGGATAGAGTTTTTTTTATGGCTTTTTTGTTCCCAGGCCAATAAAAAAACAGATTTTAGCTGTGCCATGGCTAATGAGTCAGAGGCCCCCCAAAAAGTGTGTCATTTGGGTCTCAAAATCTCCCAAATTTTACCGCTAGGTTTTGCTAAAATAAAAAGCTCCTTAAAATTAACAAAAGGACACAAAATTTTCTGCATCTTTTCCCCTTCCCCCTCCCCCAAATTAAGGAGTACAGGTAGCCTATACTCTGCACTGGGTTTTAGGCTTTGTTTTCGATATTACTGATCTCACGTGGGACTCGTTTTTAACAAACTTACTAAATAGGGGTGCCTAAAAAAAAAAGTCCACCTTAAGTATAGTCTATTTTTATTTGATTCGTCATTAAAAGAAAAAAAGTGCATATTGACTGGACCAGGGATCGAACACAGATCTCCACTGCCTCAGTCCGCAGTACTAACCACTCGACCAAGCCAACATTGTTGATAAGAAATTTAACTACACTAAAATTATTACTTGCATATATTTGAAGAGCTTATTTTAAATTTGCATCCTGTGCAGCAAACAAATAACTTTTGGGTAGAGGTGTACTGGATATTTTTGCCGGATATGTCGGATATTGAACTTTTCTCAAGTTCTATAAGTGTTTATAAAGTAAAAACAAGTTTTACCATTCTACATTAAATAGTGTTCAAGAATTAAAAAAATGAAATCAGTAAAAAACTGGTATAACACAGGTATATGCGTTAATAATGTATAAAGAAAAATAGTTTTTTATAGCCAAATTTTTTTTTTTTTTTTAGTTACTATTTTCTATACATGTCAGCACATATACCATGTCATACAGTTTTTCACTAATTTTAAGTAAGATCTTGAATACTATTTAATGTAGACTGGCAAAAAAAAAAAAATTTTTTTTTCATAAACATTTATAGAACCTTAGAAAAGTTCACTAGCAAAAATATCCGGTAGACCTCTACTTTTGGGTCGTATAAAATCTCCTCCACCTTTTTTTTCTCCATAAACTTTTCATTGAAAAATCAAGTCGGGGGGGGGGGGGTCAAAAATGTTTATTTTTACTTTAGTTTTAGTTGTTATTTTTATTTTATTTTGGTTATTTTTTTTACAAAGATTTATATATTTTTTTAAAGACAAATTTTCTTTTAAGTTTCTTCATAGTTAAGTAAAGACAATTTTTCCAGCACGTTTTTAAAATGTACAAATTTTCAAAACATATTATCAGTCACGGTCAAGTTTTCAAAATTAAACAGTAATTGAATGGTCAAATTATGACCTGAAATTGCACTTCCTGGCCAAGCCTGATTATATACAATACTATATACTGTATAAAATATTATATACTATGTGCTATACTATATTTTCACATAAAAAATATTTTTCTATATGTATTTATATATTAAAACACCTTTGACGTTATTTGACATAATGTTCAGTGAACTTTTTTTTTAAATTTAACAAGTGCAAAAAGTCTATATCCAAATTAAGTATAAATTAAAACATTTGTTAAGTCAGACAATATTTCATTGGAGTTAACAGTAGTCTACTATATATAAACTGTTTTATACAAAGATATTCTATTTTATACATATTCGATATATATTCTGGTTCATGTTTTTAATTTCTATCAATATAATTAACCAAAAAGATTCATATAAAATGTCAAGTTACAATTCTTTTATATTTATTTAATGAATATTTATAATGGTTAATGAATAATTATTAGATTAATGTTGAACAATGCTGATACTGAAAAAGAACTTTTGCTTTCCAAAGAAAAGAGTATGGATTTCAAAGTTATTCAGTTAGAAAATGAATTAGTAGCCAAGGTAATTTTTTTAGCAAAAATTCACATTAGTAAATGAGTAAAGTTTGCAACAACTTTTAGTTAATTTTTTGTAATAAATTTTTTGTTGACCTTTTTTTTTTCTTAAAGAAAGAACAAATTGATTTATTGGTTGAAAAACTAGACAAACTCAATTCTATAATTAAAGAAAATGAATCCTCTAAAAATCAGCAGTTAATTGAAGAAGTTAACTTGAAAAATATTGAAATAAGAAAGATAAAAAATGGTAAGCTAATGTTGGTTGCTCTTAATAAATTTGTTGGTGTTTACATGTTTTATTTGTGTTGCAAATATTAGTTAATAATGTTTATGAAGTTTTTAAATACAATGAATGATATTGTATTAAGCAATATAGTTTCATGGTATTACTAATTATTTTCTTCATATTTTAATTAAAAAATTTTCTCAATTGCATATAAATAAATAGTTAATTAAACAAATTATGCAAATTTACTGATAAAACAATTATGTAACAGTTAATACTTTATTATTGACAATAGTGTAAACAGCAAGTAAAATGCTGCAAGCATCATTTTCACAATCAAGTCTTAGCAGTGGAAATAGTAACAATCAATATTATGCTCCAATATCAATATTATGATCTTAATTTTATTAAATGTTATTGTAGAAAACTGAAATATCTTTATTCCATTTGGCTCCTGTTGAAATTAAGCTTTTTTTTCAGATTCCTATTTTCAGAAGTTTTTTCATATTCATCGTTTTTAATTAAAGAAGTCTTATTTCATAAATGTATAAATTATGAATATATAATTTTAGAATCTTCATTATAAGCTTTCAAAGTTGCATTGTGTTTTGGGTAGTGTTTTTTGCAGTTGCATTGTGTTTTGGGTAGTGTTATTTGCAGTTGCATTGTGTTTTGGGTAGTATTATTTTTGTATTTAAAAAATAAAGTTTTACTGATATTTATAAAATAAAAATGTTTCATCTTTGGATCTCAGTGTTGATGGCTATTATCATTTAGTTTGCAAAGTATCTAATAGACACATGCTTGACATGAGCATATACTTGTTTATCAATTCACCTATTATTTCTGATCAAATTGACCAAGCCTCTTTGTCTATCAGTTATTATTGTTGTTATTGGTGACTTTAATGCTCATCACAATGAATGGCTTGACTTGACTTGACATTACTAACATGATGGTACTAAAGCTTATAACTTTTGTAACATGCTGGTACTAAA